AGGAAAGCAGTGGAGTAAACAGAATAAAAGACTTGGAAGGAACCTCAGGGGTCTTCTAGTCCACCCCCCTGATCAAGCAGGAGATCCTGTACTGTTTCAACAAAGGGCTGACATGATACAGTATTTAGGGATGACATGATAGCAGTGCTCCAGTACTTGAGGGGCTGCCACAAAGAAGAGGGGGTCAAATTATTCTCCAAAGCACCAGAGGGTAACCTAGAATTAAGGAGAAACTTCCTAACATTGAGGACAATTAACCAGTGGAATGGAAGTTGCCTTCAGATGTTGTAGGTGCTTCATCACTGGAGGTTTTTAAGAGACTGGACAGTCACTTGTCTGAGATTGCATAGGTTCTCCTGCAAGATCCCTTCCAGCTCTATTTCTAATTTCTTATTTCAATATCTAATTCATTTCTAATTGCCATTCCCTATTCTATTCTATTCTCTATTCTATTCTCTATTCTATTCTCTATTCTATTCTATTCCTATTCTATTCTATATTCTATTCTATTCTGTTCTATTCTATTCTATTCCCATTGTCTATTCTATTCTATTCTATTCTATTCTATTCTATATTCTATTCCCATTGTTTATTCTATTCTATTCCTATTCTATTCTATTCCCATTCCCATTGTCTATTCTATTCTATTCTATTCTATTCCTATTCTATATTCTATTCTATATTCTATTCTATTCTATTCCCACTCCCATTGTCTATTCTATTCTATTCTATTCTATTCTATTCTATTCTATTCTATTCTATATTCCCATTCCCATTGTCTATTCTATTCTATTCTATTCTATTCTATATTCTATTATATTCTATTCTATATTCTATTATATTCTATTATATTCCCATTCCCATTGTCTGTTCTGTTCTGTTCTATTCTATTCTATTTTCATTCCATTATTCTATTATATTCTGTTCTGTTCTATCCCCATTCTCTCTTGTCTTCTCTACTATTCCCATTCTCTATTCTCTATTCTATACTACTCTATTCCATTCCTAGATTATCTGAACCTCCCCCTCCCCCTCCCAAAAAACCCCCTCTCACCTTCAGCCAAAGCTCGGTTGTTAGACTGGTTTCTGCAGAGGCGGATAAAGGGGCAGCGGCGCTCCTGCACGGAAGGAACCCAGGTCAGTAGGGAACGTTCAACCGAGTCTTGCCCTTTGTGACGTCACACAGTGGTTGTGGGGGGGGAGCCGCGCCGGAGGTCTCTCGGGCTTCGCGACTTCCCCGCCCCTCGGCTGGGATTGGTGGCGCGGCGCGGCTCCTCTTTAAAGGGAGGAGGCCGCCTCCAGATGTTCGCCTTGCCGGGCGAGGAAGGCGGCTCCGCGGCGGCAGAGCGCCGGGCTGGTGCCGCGGTTCCCACGGGGGAGCCTCCGTCCCTGGCGGGGGTGAGCGGTGCGAGCGTGGGGAGAAAATGGTGTTGCTGCCCCAGTCGTGCAAGGAAGGTCAGTGCTCCTGCTTGAGCAGAGGGCTGGACTAGAAGACCTCCAAGGTCCCTTCCAGCCCTATTTCTGATTAATTTCTTATTTCTAATTTCTTATTTCAGTTCCTAATTTCTTATTTCCAATTTCTTATTTCTCATTTCAATTTCTTATTTCAATTTCTTATTTCTTATTTCAATTTATTTCTAATTTTTAATTTCTTTCTAATTTCTTATTTCAATTTCTAACTTCTTATTTCAATTTCTTATTTCTAATTTCTTAATTCAATTTCTTATTTCAATTTCTTATTTCTAATTTCTTATTTCAATTTCTAATTTCTTATTTCAATTTCTAATTTCCTATTTCTAATTTCTTATTTCCAATTTCTTATTTCTCATTTCAATTTCTTATTTCAATTTCTTATTTCAATTTCTAATTTTGTATTTCTAATTTCAATTTCTTATTTCAATTACTAATTTATTTCAATTTCTTATTTCAATTTCTAATTTCTTATTTCAGTTTCTAATTTCTTATTTCAATTTCTTATTTCAATTTCTAATTTCTTATTTCCAATTTCTTATTTCTAATTTTTCTCCCCCGTTTTGGGGTGTGTGTGTCTTTAATTTCTGCACAGAGGTGCGCCTCCCACCTAGGTCACTGAGAAAGCTGTGCGCATCTCAGTGAGCACCTAGCCGTTAACAGTAATAGTAGTAGTAGTAATAGTAGTAGTAGTAGCAGAGTCGCAAATAGAGAGGGATTAGCGGGGGTGGGAGGGAAGGGGGGTTTCCTCGGTTAGGAGGTAGCACGCTTTGTGCGCCTGTGGTCCGCCAATCCTAAGTGTTGAAAAGTTTCTCGGTCGCTGCGCCTTTAAAGAGCCTCGAAACTCAACAGGTTGAAGAGTGGCCAAGGCGAAACGCTTTGCACGCCGATTGGAGCAGCTTTCCTCAGAAAGTCACAGCACGAAAAATAAAAATAAAAAATAAATTCCAAATGAATTTCGTTTACACCTGAAGGGTTTTAAAACCAACATTGGGAAAGTGGGGGGGGGGGGAGAGAGATTTGACCGATCTTTAGGACCAAATCCAAAGCATAAACCCCCCAAAATAACCAAATCAAACAATGAGGAAGGGAATACTCAATAACAAGTAAAACCAAAGTTCTGCAAAGGACTGAGATGCCCCTACTACGCTAATGCTCAAAGTATGAGGAAACTAGCTCGATACTCATGCTTCACCAGGAAACTATGTGGTCCGACTTAGTTTTTGGGGAGGAAAATAAGGAAGAAAAAAATTTGTGCCTCTGCCTACCAGCATCCATCAATATTCATCTGGCTAGCATCCTATCAGTGTGTGAGAGAGTTGAGGGCTGTTTGGAAACTGAAACAGTATTTGCTCTGTGAGCAAGGAGATAGCAAGGAGCCTGGGCGTGGCTTAGCTCAACTGTTCTGTACTAAAGCTGGCTGCTGCTGTGAAACTAAAACGGAGTGAAATTCCTCTGCTTGTAGTTTGCATTTGGAATAGATTTCTTTTCAGGTGGGGAGGGGGGTAGAACTCCTTAGCATCCGTGTATGTTAATAATAATATACGAAATATTAATGCTCTGGTGGTCATTTCGAAAAATCCTTTCTTAGTGAGCACCTAAAAGCCAAGAGGAACATACGTGCCAAATTTCAAGTTTGTAGTCCTTATGGTTCTGAAGATTTTGTGATGATGTGCAAGTGATATTTTGCTTTTTTGCTTTTTATACATATAGAAGATAAGCAGGGTGAACCTGAAGGTATGATATAGTTGCCATTACCTAAGGTTGATAGGATGAAACTCGTGACTGGAATATGCTGCTGGAAGTATACAAACTGTTCAAAAGAAACAGACCTAACAAAAGAGGAGTAAGAATTGCATTATATGTTAAAAAAAAAAAAAACTACACCGCTACAGAAATGCATAAAACCAAGGATGAAAGCCTTCTTGAATGTATATGGGCTAATAGAAAAAAAAAAAAAAAGAAATGTCATTGCCAATAGGGGTAAACTATAGGCCACCCAGCTAAGCAGAAGAAATAATGAACATTCTGCTAAAGAAAGTGTGCAGGAAATGCACCACAGTAATAATGCGGGTCTTTAACTCCCCCTGACATCAACTGGGAGACAAACCCTGCAGGAGATCAAACAGGTTCCTGACTAGCCTAGCTGACAACTTTGTCATCCAAAAGGTAGAGGAGGGAACTTGAGAGTCAGCTATACTGGACTTAATTCTTACGAATAGAGATGAAATGAGAGACGGGGTTGAAGTTGCGGGAAAATGCTCCTTTCATACTGGAATTCAACATAATGCAGGCACAAGTAATCAGACAAAGTCAAACTAGTGTCTTTGACTTTGAGTTGACTTCAATAAACTTAAAGAGTTTAGGAAGTTTTCCATGGATGGAAATCCTAAAGAGGTAAACAACTCAAGATGCTTGGGAAACTGAAAAAATAAGATTATAAAAACCCAGTCTAACACAATATCATATAGAAAGAAAAACAAGAGGTTCCCGACAAAGCCAGCATCGTTTAGCATAAAGAACTTTCTGACAAACGGGGGGTGGGAGGCTGGGGAAGAATATATGTAAAAATAGGAAGAGGGACATAAATAAAACAGAATACCAACAAAGTCTACAAGGACATGTCAGGAAAGCTAAGGCTTGGAATGAACTAAGACTTGCAATAGACGTCAAAAATAATTTTTTAAAAAATTATTTCAATATGTAAGAAACAAGAAAAAGTCAAGGAAATGACCAATCCACTAAGGGGAGAAGATGGCAAGGAAATAACTGGAGTAGGGAGAAAGCAGAGCTGCTTAATTCATTCTTTGCATCTGTCTTCATGCGAAAGAAAGAAAAAATAGTCCAACCTACCAAAAGCAGCATCATAGGAGACAGACTAGAAATGAAAAGTCAAAATAGTCAAGAAAATAGTAAAAGAACACCCATCCATTCTAGAGGAGTTAAAATTGCTGGGCCAAATGCATCTCAGCACTCTGAAGGTAAGGCAGAACATAAAGAAGGATATAAAAGACTGTTCTTTTGATAGTGAAATGTGTGTATTGAGAAATGAAAAATGTCAGTTCATAGGTTCATCCGTTGATCACTCACTCATATTTGTCCCTCAGGAAACCTTGTCTGTTTGCAACAAAACCACAGGGTGCTATAGGAAGCCAGAGGGTTTAGCAAGATGGGTTATTTGTAATAATCCAGCTACTTTAACCCAACAACAAGGGAGAGGGGAGCTGGAATTCGAAGTATTCATTGACAGGTAGGACATTGCAATGTATGATTTTATATACTATACTTAGATCGGACCGAAGGTGGCGTAGTTCTAGGTTTTCTAGTCTCCAGTCCCCCAATTATCCTGGTTGCTCTTTTCTTTGTTTTGCTAAGATCAGGTCTGCAAACGTTTTCTAACACATGTGGATCAGATGCTCAGTCCATCATTTCTCTGTTTTTCTAGGGGAAGTGTTTCCTTTGGCTTGCCCCAACTCTCAACATGCCTGGTGCCAGATCCTCAACGTATCGGAGCTACAAGCTTCTTTCTTCGCCTATTCGGGGAGATACCCCAACGAAACAGTGTTGAATGTTTCCACTCCCCAAGGAAGCAAATACAGCTTATACCTAGGCGTCGCATTGGCCATCGGTTCCAGTATCTTTGTGGGTTCCAGCTTTATTCTGAAGAAGAAGGGCCTTTTGCAAATGGCCGCAAAAGGTTTCACTAGAGCTGGTAAAAAAAAAAATACTACTTTTAAATATCTTTTTTTTGTAATTGGGAATCAAGTCTCAAAGCATAGTGTGGCTATCAATCTCCAATGTGCATTTAATATTTAATAGTTTGCGTAAGTTATACTCTTGTGGAAAGCATAGGGTAGGGGTGTGATGACCCATAGTGTAGCACAAACGTAACAAAATCCAAATCACAAATAAATGTCCTTTAATGCCTCCAGCTTGGCCCCACTGTTCAATAATTCTCAGTTGGAGATAAAACATACTCAAAAATAGTCTTCCAAAGAAAGCAATACAGTCCAAACTTAGAGCAAATGGAGGTGAAATAAAAAACCAAAACAAACTACAACGAAGGAATTTCCACAACAGACCAGGATAAGTAATTACCAAATTCAAGGAGATAACAAGGCACAGTCTGTTAGAAGGTTGCCAACCAAGATAACTTCAGCCTAAAATAACATACTTTGCTTCTGACAACGCTGTGTTGTAATCGTCTCTCTTATATACTAGTCTCCCCAACTGCAATGAGGAGGATCATGGCCGCTTCCTCTCTCGTAAGCCAAGTTGTTTCCTTCTCCGTTCCTCCCTGTGTGTCCTAGGATGTAGAGGGGATGGGCCTGGTTCTTCCTCTGACTGCCCAGCCGGCCTCTGCCCTTCCTCAGCCTCCTCCACAACCTCTGTAGCCACACCTCCACTCCCTGTTGGCTGTTCCTCCTCTCCCTCAAGAGTCAGTCTCCATCAGGGGCATGACAAGGGGTGTCAAACTCGATTTCACTGAGGGCTGCATTAGGGTTGTGTTTTACCTTTGGAGGGGGCAGTGTGGACCTGGCCAGGGGGGGGGGGCATGACCAGCTCAACATCCCTCATGTCGGGGGCACCTGTGGTGGCCTGAGCACTCTGCCAGTGAAAATGGGCTCCCAAGCTCCATTTGCAGCTGCAACGGCCTCCTGCAACCCTCTGCCAGGGAAAATGGAGCTCGTGAGGGCCATGGGCTGTTCTCCCAAGCTCTGTTTTCACTGGCAGAGGTACCATGGGCCGGTCCTTCTCTGTTTCCAGGATGGTCCCGCGGACCAGATCTGAGCACCCCGCAGGCCAGATCCTGAGTTTGACACCCCCAGCATAAGGTATATTCTTCATCACATATGAAGCATTCTGTTTTTTAAGGGGTTCTTTTTCCTGTCATATTGTAAGAGGTCTGAGAAGAGTGTTTGGGGCTTTTTTGACAGTAAATAAATTAATAATAATGAAGAGTGGTTGAAAAAAAATTACATTCACAGTATTTTGAACTTGACGTGTATATATAGCAAAAAGTGCTCTTGAAACATAAATGAAACAAATGTAATTACTCTTCTGTTAATTAAGTTTAATAACTTTGTTCCTATATAACTCATAACCATAATATGATTTATTAGCTTTTTATTCCACTTTTATTATTGTTTATAAATAACCCAAGATGGCCAACACCCCTAATACCCCTTTTCCTGTTTTCTCCACAACCCTGTGAAGTGGATTGGGCTGAGAGGAAATGACTGGGCCAAACTCAGCTGTCTTTCATGCCTAAGACAGATCTAGAACTGACAGAATCGTGGTTTCTAGGCCAATATCTTCATAAATGATCTAGATGAGAGAATATAGAGGAGCAGTGGTTAGAATGCAGTACTGCAGGCTACTTCTGCTGACTGCCAGCTGACTGCAATTTGGCAGTTTGAATCTCACCAGGCTCAAGGTTGACTCAGCCTTCTATCCTTCCGAGATGGGTAAAATGAGGGCCCAAATTGTTGGGGGCCTTAGGCTGATTCTGTAAACCACTTAGAGAGGGCTGTAAAGCACTCTGAAGCGGTATATGCGTCTAAGTGCTATTGCTATTTCTATAGAAGGAGCACTCATCAAATTTGCAGATGACACCAAACAGGGGGAATTGGAAGATAGACCGAAGATTCAGAAATATCTTGATTGGGCCCTAGCCAACAAGATGCAGTTCAGTGGTGAGAAAAGCAAGATCCTGCATTTAGGCAGGAAAAATCAAATGCACAGGTATGGAATAGATAGTACATGGCCCAACAGTAGTAACTAATAATGAGAAATATCCATGGACTAGCAGTGGTCCACCAAATGCCAGAAACCAGGCTGTGCAAACAAGTGAAGTCTCATTTGCGGGATGCAGGCAGCACACAAAACCATACACCCCTCCGGTCCGTGGAAAAATACTTTCTCCACAGAACTGGTCCCTAGTGTCCAAAGGTTGGGCTTGGTGTTAGGGTTAGTGGGCCACTACTTAAGTATCAGCCAAGCAGTTTGCAATGCCAAGAAAGTCATTGCAGTCTTGGGCTACATCAACAGAGAGATAGCCTCAAGATCACAAGAAGTGATGGTACTGCTTTATACTGCATCCAGTTCTGGTCATTATGATACAAAAAAAAAAAATGCTGAAGCCCTAGGATAAGTGCAAAGCCACTTGTCCAGGATACAATAATATCTCCTACCTTGGACAGGGAGTTAGACTAGAAGACCTTCAAGGCCCCTTCCAGCCCAAAGTTCTGTGATTCTTATTATTAAATCAAACAGTTGCTGGTGTAATTCTGCCTGCGGTTACAATGGAATGAGGATGACCATTTCCTTTTTTAAAAAATCAAAAAAGGGTTGTTGAGATATTTGAATAGAAGCTGAGTTGTTTTTTCTTCTGAAAATCTCCTTTGAAAAAAAACATCAAAAAAGGGATAGTTGAGGTATTTGATAGAAGCTGAGTTGTAGATTTTTTCTTCTGAAAATGTTTTTTATGGTTGTTTTTCTTTTTCCTAGGAGAGGGGGGCTATTCTTACCTCAAAGAATGGTTATGGTGGGCAGGATTGCTTTCAAGTAAGTATTAAAGCTTCAAAACTTTATTTTTATGTAGTTATTTTTGCATACTTCTTGTTCAAAGAAACTGGCAGTGCTTGTTACTAGTTAAGACTTCCTCTGCCTTAATGTTACTGTCGTACAGTATGAATGGAAAGCAGGTCCAGTTCCATTTGCCAGAAAATCTTTTTTATGGTTGTAGCGTGGGGTTCTTAATGCGTATACCAGGCTTGTCAAACTAGCGGCCCGTGGGCCATAGGCGTCACCCACAGGCCACGCCCACCCCAGCTCCTCAAAGGCAAAAAAAACATTCCAATAGATCACGTGACGTGATCGAGTTTGACACCCGTGGCTTATATAATCTGTGGCAGACCAGTGCTTAAACGCATGAGAGAAAGCCTGTTGAACCGGCACACTGTATGTACATATATGGAAGATGATTTGATGTTTTTATGTTTTGTTTGTTTATGTTTGTTTTAAAAACCAATAAAAAATTTATTAAAAAAAAGGATGAGAATATCATGTTGTTGTTATTTATCTCTCTCAGACAAATAATTATCATCTTGGGAAAATGGTACCATCTGTTTTCAGTTTGAATCACTGTAGTCAGTTTGTGCCTTGGCTACCGTAGATAAGGCAAATAAAAAGGTTTTGGTATTAGTTTAGTATTAGTAAAAAGTTTTAGTAAAAAAGAGTGCTGAAGTATTGTAAAACATTGTTTATATTGTGATAGTTGGTCATGGAATGCCATTCTCTTCCTTTAACTTTTAATGAGAATTCTTTAGAAACAGATTGTTTCAGTCTGTGTGTTATGGGTGGAGAGAGAGAGGGAGGGAGAGAGAGGACTGAGGGAGAGAGGAGGAAGGGAGGGGAGGAGGGAGAGGAGGGAAGAGAGAGAGAGGGAGGGAGAGAGAGGAGGGAGAGAAAGGGATGCATGCTCTAATACAGTCGTGGCTAACCTTTTTGGGCTCCTGTGGCCCAAATTGTTTGTGCACATGCACGCGCATGCGTGCGTGTGCCAGCACCTAGAAGGCAATGTGTGCGCCCCATCCCCTGCGCATGCCTTCTCAATCCCCTTCGTGCCCCCTTATCTGCACTGTGCCTCCCAGCTGATTTTCAGCCCGTTTGAGGCCTTTTTCGGCCTCTCGGAGGCTTGAGGAAAGCTTTTGCAGCCTTTGCAGGCTGAAAAATAGGCCCATTTCGTCACTTCCGGTATTATGAAAATACAGAAAGTGACGAAACAGGCCTATTTTTTGGCCTGCAAAGACTGCAGATGCTTTCCTCAAGCCTCTGGGAGGCCGAAAAAGGGCTGAAAATCAGCTGTGAGGCACACATTTGTGCAGTGAGGTAAGTTTGCCTGCGACTCACGTGCCAGCACAAATGGCTCTGTGTGCCACTTGTGGCATGCGTGCCATAGCTTCGCCATCATGGCTCTAATAGTTTCTAAAAGTTTGTTGCATCTAACATGGGCAGGCAGAAATTACTGATAGAATTCCAGAAAGATACTCATATTTTTAGAAAGGTTATATCTCTCAAGTAATTCTAGTTTTCTGTCATTTTTGGCAGTGGGAATAGGAGAAGCTGCCAACTTTGCTGCATATGCCTTTGCTCCCGCAACTTTGGTCACTCCATTGGGGGCACTAAGCGTCCTTATAAGGTTAGTACAATTAGTACAATTGCTTTGCTAACTACAACCTCTAGGATGAGAGTTCAAACAATGGCTCAACAGGGACTGTAAATATATTGCAGGCTCTTATATTCCTATTTTAGTTAAAGTATGTCTATATTATCTTTCTAAAGCAATATTTCTCAAAATTGGCAATTTTAGGATGTGATTTTTCAAGTCCCAAAATTCCCCAGCCAGCCAAAAACACCGTTCTGAAGAGTCCAAAGTGACAACATACCTCATTACATTTCTGTTAGAAGTCTGCAATATAAAGAGTTTTGGACTATGCACAAATACACAGCACTTCCCATTATCTTGTGGTTCTGCAAAAATACATATTTTTCCTAATATGTGGTTCTTTTAGTATATACAGCATTTAAATTAGGAATCTGGCCAGGGATGGGATTCAACAGGTGTAACAACTAGTTCGGCTTCGTGCACACATGCAAAATTTACAACTCACCTTCTGCTCCAAGCCCTGTGTGTAAAACAGCTGACGCACGACAATCCGTGAAGCAGCTGAGCTGGAAAACCCAGAAATAAAGCACAGACTAGAACCAGGGCTGGCGGATAGGCCCAACAGCTGATTGTCGCAGTGAACTGGTTCTCTCCCAGCTGATCTTTGGAGCTACCAGTTCGCTTGAACCGGGCTGAATCGGTAAAATCCCACCCCTGAATCTGGCCTTGGCCATTACATTACAGACACTGTGACAAAGTAGGCTTGTAAAGGCAGTTGCATATAGACACACAATTTACATGGCGGTTTAGCGACCGTCATCGGGCTCTCTGTCAAAAGACCATGTGTAGTTCTTTATTTCTCTTTCTAATGTGTCCAAAAGTCAGGAGGAGCAGTTGTAAACCTAGGCAGAACTAAACTAAACTCTTCATACGCTGATGTGTCTAAAACGATTATAAAATAATAATAAGGTGCAAAAGTTGTCCATTTATAATAGTGTTCTTGGTTCTTATTCATCCTATCTATTCAGAACTTCGGTTGCTGGATTTGTTACATTCCTAAGGGTTCCGACTTTGCTTAACTTCTCCATTTATAAAATTCCAAACAGTGCAATATTGTCTTCCTATTTCTTGGAGGAAAAGCTCAACATTCATGGGAAGCTGGGCTGTGTGTTAAGCATTCTGGGTTCCACCGTGATGGTGATCCATGCTCCTGAGGAGGAACTAATCACGTCATTGGATGACATGGAAACAAAACTGAAAGACCCAGGTATGCTTACTAGAGAGCTATCATAAAATGTGAGGACTCCCCCAGATGCTTCCCCAGTTGCCTCTCCAGATGCTAGTTTGGAGGAGGACGAGCTGATCCCGGAGCAGTCTCCCTGGTGGAGACTGACTCTGAGGGAGAGGAGGAACAGCTGACAGGGAGTGGAAGTGTGGCTCTGGAGGTTGTGAAGGAGGCTGGGGAAGAGCAGAGGCCGGCTGGGCAGTCAGAGGAAGACCCAGGCCCATCCCCTCTCCATCCTAGGGCACGCAGGGAGGAGAGGATAAGGGAGAGATGTGGTCTACAGGGGAGGAGAGGGCATTGATCCTCTTCATGGGCTGCAGCTGTGACAACTGGATAAGAGGACGGACCTGCGTACTGGCCAGTGCTGGAAACAAAGCATGGAAATATCTCTAGTTTATTGTTCCTCTCTGAGTTTGGTGTCCTTCCCAGTGTGTGTTATCTGTGGACATATTCAAGCCCTTATCTTGCCTGGTTTGTTTGTTTTTTAATTTGTGTTGTTTTTTATAATTTAAATGGCATTTCCTCCTTTTAACTGCTTGTGTGGGAGTTTTTTGTCTCCAGTCAAGGATATTCGGAGCTTGGAAGCAAAGTGAAGGAATAAAAGGGGCTTCACCTGTTTTTTGTGACTGTGTTTATTTTGTATCGCACCCTGGGTCATCACAGGAGGGGAGGCAGTTGAGGGCTATGAGCCAGGAATGGAAGGGCCGAGAACAGGGGAGTGACCGGATGAGCAGCTGGCTCAGCTAGAGACAGGAGACACAGCTATAATTGAGAAGCCCATAGATTTTGGATGGAGAGGACACAGAGCTGCAGTGGAGATGAAGAACTGCCTCCTGATCCAAGAGCATGTAGGGCAGAGAAGAGGCAGGCACAGTGAAGGTCGGCCAGGCTATTTGTGAGGAGGCAGCCTCACCCTTCTTTATAACTGCACCAGGAAGCAGTTATTTAGCTCAGCAAGGGGAGTGCTGGGAACAATGTGCCTCTTTCCTTGCTGTGTGAAGTTGTGAAATGAGTGCAGAAAAGTATAAAAATAATGTCTTGGGATGAGTTCAGTGCCACTGGCCATAGCTATTCCTTGTTGGATCTAGCTATTGGCTCTGGACCTCATTGCAATAGGTTATTACTGTAAGTTGTGTTATGATGGCTGTTCATGTTCCAAATTGCTCATGAAATAAACCTCTGATCTTAACATAAGAATTATTGTTTGTGATCTATCTGTGTTCCTCTTTATTGAAATTTTTCTACAACAGTGCCTTTTCAACCCAGAATTTGCCTTTGACTAGTGGACCTCCCTTGTGCTGTGGATTAATCCTGGCTTCTTTTGAGCAGCCTGTTGAACTCATTGGGGGTGGGCTGGAGCTGCCAAAGGGAATTGCTAGGGAATATTAACTCAGGATTGGAAGGCGTAATAAAGACTCCCAACATCCATGGTGTGCATGTGAGCGGGACAGTACATAGAATGAGTCCCTATTATGAAAATGTTTCCTCATGAATATATTTAGATTAGGCTAGAACAGTGGTGGCTAACCTTTTTGGGCTCCTGTGCCAAAAATTGTGTGCGCGCTTGCATGTTTGCGCCCGCATGCCAGCACCCAGAAGGCACCCTCCCACGCCCCTTATGCATGCACGTGCAATCCCCCTACCCCCCATTCACCCCTACCCCCTTACCTGCACTGCACCTCACAGCTGATTTTTGGCTGGTTTGAGGCCTTTTTCGGCCTCCCAAAGGCTTGAGGAAGGCTTCTGCAGGCTTCTGCAAGCTTTGTAGGCCGAAAACTAGCCCCGTTTCGTCACTTCCTGTTTTTCCGAAAATACCAGAAGTGACGAAACGGGGCTAGTTTTCTGCCTACAAAGCCTGCAGAAGCCTTCCTCAAGCCTTTGGGAGGCTGAAAAAGGCCTCAAACTGGCCGAAAATCAGCTGTGAGGTGTGCACATGCATAGTGAGGTAACTTTGCCTGCAGCTCGCGTGCCAGCACAAATGGCTCTGTGCCATAGGTTCGCCATCATGGGGCTAGAATCTATTTATTTGTCCTACATAAACAGATTTGAAATTGTCCAATGTTAGAGCTGACATGGAGATACTGAATGGAAATAGACTAACACAGAAGGAGGAAGTTTGGATGTTTCCAAACTGCTCTCAGGCTGCAGACAACTGAAACTTAGTGAAAAATCAAATAACAGGATTTCCAGCATCGGATACAACTGTGCTCTTTCTTCTTCTATCTCAGTGTTTCTCAACTTCAACCACTTTGATATCTATGAACTTTGGAGTTGAAGTCCACACAAAGTTGCCAAGGTTGAGAAATACTGACACAGAGAAACCTCTACAATCAGTACATAAATTCAAACATGTTCTAATTTACCTCAATTATTAAAAAAAATCCAGATCTTGAAGAGAAACCTATTGGTTATCAGTTTTCCTCCTAATGCTTCTCACACAAGTTCTAAAGAGCCATCTCTACCCGGCCAGGAATACAGTTAGAAACTAGTACCAATCCTTGCAGAAAGAGGAAACATTTCAGAAGTGGTTCTCCTTTTATGGAACACTGGACCAAATGCACTTGTGATGTGACATATTTGGTGTTGTCTACTGTAAATCCTAACGTTTCGTTATTTTCCTTTCTTGCAGTCTTCATTGTGTTTGCTTCTGTTGTAATTGTGACCTCACTGGTACTTATTTTTGTCGTCGCTCCACGGTTTGGACAGACCAATATATTGGTCTACATCTCCATCTGTTCACTGATAGGGGCCTTTTCCGTCTCCTCCGTCAAAGGCCTGGGTATCGCTATTAAGGACATGCTTTATCAGAAGCCAGTCTTTCGAAATCCGCTGCTCTATGTTTTGACCGTAGTTTTGGTGCTGGCCGTAAGTACTCAAATCAACTACCTCAACAAGTCATTGGATGTGTTTAATACGTCTCTGGTCACTCCCATTTATTACGTGTCCTTCACAACCACCGTGGTGATTTGCTCCGTTATCCTCTTCAAAGAATGGAACAGCATGGAGCTGGGAGATATCATTGGAACCCTGAGTGGATTCTTCACCATAATCATTGGCATTTTCTTTCTTCACGCTTTCAAAAATGTCAGCATTACCTGGAACCAATTGGCAGCATCTGTTAAAAAGGACCCCAACTTGCCTCTGCATGCTTACGAGTCTCATCACACTTTATTAGAAAATATGGACGCTCCCGTTTCGATATGCGACGAGGATAATACTCTGTTCAGCCGAGGAAATGAACGACAGTAACTGCCATTAAAAGTTGTCTCTCGCGCAGCTTACCGCCAACCAGAGCAATGTCGTCATCTTCACTACCTCAGAATTTGTGGGGGGAAAAGCCGGAACATGTCATTTGCTTTTGGGTTAGAAAAGGAAATTAGATCATTCTGGTATTTCTGTATTTTCCACCTTTGACAGCATGCAAAAGTCGCCTTAAGTGATGATTATGGTTTGTTAGTAAAGTGAATTACATATGTATTTTCTAAATCGTATTTTATAGTTTCACTGTTTCAAAATGAGATTTTTGCTGAGGGCTAAATGAATATATTCTGTGACAACCAGGACTTTTTCTAATGATCAGCAGGTTAGTAAATTGAAAGTTTTAATTTATTCTAGTTTCCCAAAAAGGAAATGTCCAGAGAGAATCTCTTTTCTTTTTTAGGTGTAACTTCCAGCGTTGAAGTTTAAAGTCTAGGTACATTAAATGAAAACATGGTCTTTCTAGGCCAGATAGCATTGAAATTAATTCCAGACCAAGAAATCCTTACAGTAAATTCATGAAATCTGGGAATTACGTTGGTGTAGACTAAACATTTCTGGAAAGCTGTTAAGTTTTATTTCCCTCATCAATTGCTTTTAATTGTTCAGAATGATAGATTAGCTTTTAAGACACATTTGTGTTACTCACATATGTTAAATTCTCTTCCCTTTTATATAGAAGTGTATTATTATAATACAGTGTTGAGATTTTTTTAAAAAAACCATGGTGACCTTGTTGGTTATTTTGTGAACGGGAAAGTGATTTTGGTTACATGTCAATGTCTGAAGTAAAATGATCAGTGCCAATAAATTTGGTTCCGAAATAGAATTCCATCTGTAAACACAGGCTTGGCTGTGTGGAGATTTTTGGTCATCTCTTCAGTATTTAATATTAACACTTTAATTCCAAAACGGCTTAAGAAAGAAACAAACAGCTGGGCAGGTTTTATTACACAAATAAATTATATATTTAGCTCACAGTAATGGATAGGTATGGACTTGGGTAATATAATTTTAGCTCTGAATTTTTCTAATTACTTTGGATTATTAAGAATTGGCCTCTGTTCCATGATAAGGAATCATTTACCGAAATACAGGTTTTTAATTATTTTAAATGGTCACTTACTGTGTTGCTCATCTAAAGAACCATGAGCAGTGACTGTGAAGTGCCATTTGGGGGGGGGGGGGGGATGCTTTTCTGTATCTATAAAGTTTGCCGTAAGTATTTATAGATATTTAATATTTATTCTTCTGAATGGAAAATCTTTGAAGCTTTGATATAATATTGACAAAAATGAATAAAAATGTTTTGATAAAGTGTGTATCCTACTAACATTGGGCCAGTTTTTATATTTTGTATCATCCTAATCCATTTGGACGATACTCCTTTGGAAAACCCAGATATAGGGATTCAGACAGAGATAGGTCCACATAAGATTTATATCAAGAAAACAGATATTCAGACAACCCACCCAAGAGTGTGAATTGATTGCTATTGAAGACTTTTACAATTAAAGCAAAATATGTGTCACCTGTGCAAAGTTCCTAAATTTTAGATATTTTGGGGAATATCCCTTATTTTTAAGATGTTAACAAAACATAGGGCAAATTTCTGTGGTGGTGCCATTCTTAGAAGCAAAGATTGGCTACATGTGCTGCAATTTTGCAGAAAATCTTTATGTAATGTGGTAAATGGAGTATTTCTCTTTCAAGAAATATAGTCTAGTCCAAGGGTGTCAAACTCGCGGGCCACATGTGTCACATGCTGGCCACGCCCACCTCCGGTTTAGCAAAGGGGGGAAAATCACAATACGTCACATCATACGATGCTGTGAGTTTAACAACCCTGGTCTAGTCTTTATGTTTAAAAATGTGGGGCAAGGGGCTTACTGAAATCTTCACAATTAGATTTAGCTAAGTAATAGATGGGAATGGGAATGTTCTTTAGCTGCTGCTACTCACACCTAACCCCTTTTCAAATGTAATTAACTTGGATTTATGCAAGCAGCATTGGCATTCTTTAGCAGTAGTCTGGATTGTTTGGGCGGGGTTATGTAATTTTGGGTAGGATTATATAAGTTTTTCCCCTGAACAGAACTTCAAAATTACCTTTGCTGATTTTGAACAGTTTCAGGATAAAGCAAAACAATATCTATTTTCCTTTCGGGTTCTGCAATGCAGTGGTATCTGAGATGGTTTCGATGCTTCTGAAGCATTGTGTGGCATGAGAAATTAAGTCCCCATGAAACTTTAGGATGGTCATAATTTATGACATGGTAAATAGTTTAGGAACCATCTTAATAATGAGTGTGAAAGTTTAATTTTGCTCCACATACTCACCTGAAAATGAAAACGAGTGGTTCAACTTTTCATCACAACTTCATATTTATTATATGAAGTACATTTATTCGACACATTTTGCTATACATTAAGTCCCTGGCAATGGAGCACGCTTTGCAGCTGGTAAAATCAAAATAACAATCTGATAAAAAAAAACAAAAAACTCTCCAGTTTGTAATGAAGTTGGGAGCTTGTTCTCTTTTTGCTAAGCACCAAACTGAACATGTAGCATACGATAAAGGAGTCAATGTGTTGTGTTTTTAAATAGTGTAGGACATACTACATTCTCCCTTCGTATGAAAACCTATGTGCAGTGCATATTTACAATCCATAAATGGCATTTAGAATACATTTATGACAAATGCTGTGTTTCATAAGGCCCCTTCTGGTTTCTAGAAACGGACACGTTTTAAAGAGGCTTTAATCATATTTTTCTTTTGTGAAGGATTATATATCACAGATCAAACCAAAAGGGTATTTTTCTTCATTAACTTAATGACTGCTTTAACAAGTCACAAGTACTGGAAGGTCTTCTGATAGTCTTTCTAACATCTGTTTCGGGCCTGGTGGGGTCTTTGAGCAAATCTAGTCAAGGAGATCTGGTATTTTGTACTAGTCCTTTCTCTTCGTTCCTGTTTTCCTGACAAGCCACTGAAGGAGACTCACAGCCTCAGTTTCTCCACACACCATCTACCTATCACCTCTACATTCACCAGCCGCTACGACCAAACCAGTGTACGCCAACCTCTGTGCTTCCTGAAAAGGAAATGTGGCCAAACGCATCTGGAGGGCTCAGCAATGGGCAAGACTATAAACGACCATCACTTTAAATTTTGTCCTTTCAAGTCAACAGCTGGCTTATAAAAAGGCTTGTGCTGAATTCGGGCAATGTTGTACATAGCTTTATCCTGCTACAAATGGGCATTTTCCCCTCTCAGGAAAACCACACGTTGGTCCTCTTGATAACAATACTGTTTGCCTAGCCAAATGGACTTTAAATATGTGGGTAAAACTTGTTCCAGAGACAAAGGAGCCATAGGCACAATTGCCTTGTCTTCCCACGGTCCTTCTAAGCAGCATCCAGGACTGTCTCTGGCAAGAGTCCAGCAGCATCTCTGAAATGATATTGTCCTTATTGTGAATTCTTGCACCTGCCAAGCTTATAGTCAGGATGAAGAGTCTTCAGCTATACATTCAATCCTATGCAGGAGATCCTGAAATGTAGGACGTCCTTCTGGTTTCTAGAAATAGAAAAGTTTTTTAAGAGGCTCTAATAATTGATATTTCTTTTGTCAACTCAAAATATTTCTCTGGTCTTTTTAGAGTTGCCAGCAGAAAGGGAGGGGGGAGCAGTGCAGCAGCTTGCAAAACCGAAAGTGCATTCCATAAGTGTTTTCAAAGATAGTAACTAGGTGACTGAAGTTTCTGCCGTGCAAAATTCTAACTGGAGAGCATGACTGATGACTCTGGGCTATGGATGTGTCCCATTGGAGAATGTGAATTACGATACACCCAGGGGGTGGGGGAAAACCAGGGTCAAGGGTGACAAGGAAGGATGTGTCTCAGAGTCGGCTATACCCAGGCAGTGGCAGCATGTTTACTCCCAATAAATCCTCTTTAAATTCTGGAAGTTTGGCTCGAGACTCATGATTTAAATGGGGTGAAGTGCTGGAATCCTGACATCCTTTTCTTTTGTGATGCATGACATGCAAATAGTCCTCACTTAGCAACCCTTCAAAGGCTACTTACCACCAATTGTGGAGTTCACATGGCTGCATACACTTGCAGTCACATGACCACATTTTGAGTGTTTGGCAACTGGCTCACCTTTGCAGCCTGTTGCAGTGTTTCAGTCACATGACAGTTATTTATAATGTTTTCTTTTTGGTTTCCTGGCTTCTTTGGGCTGTTTCCAGCAAAAAACACCCATTGTAACCACTGTGCTCCAACAATTCTTACAAAAATACCCAAGGGTGTTTTTATAAGAGTTGCAGTGGCACAGTGGTTGGAACGCGGTATTGCAGGCTAATTCTGCTGACTGCCAGCAGTTCAATTCTCACCGGCTCATGGTTGACTCAGCCTTCCATCCTTCCGAAGTAGGTAAAATGAAGACCCCAATTGCTGGGGACGATATGCTGTCTCTAAACCACTCCGAGAGGGCTGAAAAGCCCTATGAAGTGGTTTATAAGTCTAAGTGCTATTGCTATTGTTATAGGAATACATGGATCTACTTATCAATCGCAGCATTCACTTAAGAGGATGGCATTCACTTAACAATTTTGCATTCAGTCACCAACCGCCATAAAAAAGTTGTAAAATTGGGTCTGGTCATGTGGGTATCTCAACTTATGACCGTCATAAGGATGGAAATTCTGGACTCCCTTACAGTTGTAAATTGTGGACTAGTAAACCAAACTGAAAGGGTATTTTTCTTTATCAACTTGCTTGACTGCTTAAAGCAAATCACAAATACTGGAAGAAGCCATTTAACAGAAAATTTTGATGATTATAAATAAAAAGTTATCCTATTACTGCATATGTTTTGGGGATGATATGATCCATGAAATGGACAGTGATCTATATTTTACCCAATTATAAATTTGTTAGTCTTTACGGTGTCACGTGTTCTTTGCTGTTTTGCTGCCACTGTCTGTTGTGGTTCACTGGCAGCCTGTGCAGATGGCAGTGGAATCAGACAGCGGGGAAGAACGGGGACCAGTCCAGGAGTTTGGAGAGGACTCGGATGAGGGTCCTGCATCCGATGCAGAGATGGGGCCAGGAGCATCTGGGAGTTATGTGCTGACTCTGGAGCCTCTGGAGTCTGGCAGCAGCGAGGCAGAGGAACAAGGGGAGCCTGTTCCCAGTTTGCATGTGCACAGAGCTGCTAGAAGGCGAGAGCAGCTGAAACAAAAGGGGCGACTTGGGAGTAAGGCTGGGGGTTGATTGCCCCTCCCATAAGGTATTAAAGTCAGGCCAAGATGACAAAACCTTTGCAGGAAGCAAAGTAGTTCGATCGGTTCAGAATCATCCTTGAAGCTAGTTGTACTTTGGTTAGGGATTTTTTTTGTACTTTTCTAGTTCATTTGATACTTCTGTTTTTGGCAGCACTTCACACAACTGAAAGGTGTGTGCTTATCTTGGGAGACTGTTTGAGATTAATTCCGGCTGAGAATGAAAACAATTCCCAGCGTTGCAATAAAATAAGTCTTGATTTTAAAATAAGTTTGTGCATGATTACAGTTTACAAAGCCTGGGTCAGAACACTGTCACACGTGCTCATAAAGCACTCTGGTGACAAATAGGTTGAACAACTAAACAAGATTAATCCTTTTTTATTCACCGTTGTTTCAACCAAATCTATTGGAATCCACCTCTGAAGTATAGAAGTTATAAGAACATGACAGTTCTATTAAGAGTGAGGCAAGTTTTTGTTTATTGGTATTTCATTTCTGCACTTAGCTCACCCAAATCTTTCTACCTAATACCTTTCTTGTAGATAGAACTAACATATTAGGATCACCTCCTGGCACTGTAAGACAGTACTGTCAATTGCTAATGTTTTTCTGACTTCTAAAATTGCTGATTGTTAGAATTAAAAATCATGTAATTTCCACTCTTTTAAGTCTACAGGTAGTCCGTGATTTATGGAACCAGAAATTACATTGCTAAACAAAGCAGTTGGTGAAGTGATTCATATCTGATTTTATGAACCTTTTCTGCCATGGTTGTTAGGGAATCACTCCAGTTGTTAAGTGGACCACATGGTCATTAATGTGAATCTAGCTTCCCCCATTAAATAGTTGGAAGTTTGATGGGAAGGTACCAAATGGCATTCACATGATCCCTGGATGCTACAACCGTCATAAATGTATGCTCGTTGCTAAGCCCCAGATTTTGATCATATGAATATGACGATATTGCGACGGTCACTAAATGGGACCGGTCATAAGTCACTCTTTTCAGTGCCACTGTAACTTTGAACTGTTGTTAAATGAATGGTTATTAAATTGAGCATTAACTGTACAGTGGAAACTCAGGTCACGACCGTAATCTGTTCCAGGACTTTTGTCGCAACCCGATTTGGTCGTGAACTGAAGCAAGTGTCATCTCATAAAATATTTCTATGGCCTTTTTAGAGTTGCCAACAGAAAGGGAAGGGGGAGCAGTGGGCATCTTGCATTCCATAAATGTTTTCAAAGATAGTTTCTAGGTGACTGAAGTTTCTGCCATGCAAAATTCTAACTAGAGAGTATGATTGATGATTCTTGGCTATGGATGTGTCCCATTGGAGAATATGAATTATGATACACCCAGGGGGTGGGGGAAAACCAGGGTCAAGGGTGACAATGAATGATGTGTCTCAGAGTCAACTACACCCAGGCAGTGCTGGCATGTTTACTCCTAATAAATCTTCTTTAACTTCTGGAAGTTCGGCTAGAGACTCATGATTTAAATGGGGGTAACTATCGGAGCCCTGACAGCGAGACTGACCGCATGCGCCTACAATTATGTGCATGCACAGAAGGGGAAACCGCCGCAGCTGTATTTGATCGGCACCCGAGGATCTCTCCGCGACCAGAAGCAACAATTTTCCCAAATTTTTTGTCATCTCCTGATTTGGTTGCGAACAGAAGCGTTCATGACCTGAGGTTCCACTGTACTTGATTTCTATTTTCAGACTCTGTTCTACTTACTCGGCCCTGAATGAGTAAGGTGAAAGGTAGGGGTACTGTTCAGGCACCCACAAAAAAAAATGGGAGGAACACACAGCATTATTGCATTGACTGGAAATTTTCACTCGACTGACCGGCGGGGTGCAAAGAATGGTTGCACCTACTTTGGGTCACTCTTCATGCCAGAATACAGCAATAGGACTAATGCAAGTGAAGTTGCAACATAGCGTACCTCATGCCAGCACATTACCATCAAGTCATAAATATTCTTAGAAGCTAGCTTGGGTCGAAATAGCCGGTGTCCTTGTGTAATCATAGTCACCACTTCGTAGTTTGTGTTTGTCTCAAAGGGCATCTTCCCTTCCGTAAACACTTCCCACATGAGAACTCCTGCAAAATCAGAGAGAGAGAGAGACAGAGAGAGAGACACAGAGAGAGAGAGAGACAGAGACAGAGAGAGAGACAGAGAGAGAGAGAGATTTGTCAAAGTTCACAGAAATAACTGAATTGAAACATTTCCATTCCAATGTTCTGGGTTATCCTCCAGGGTGGCAAATACACGTTAATAGAAAATCAATCCTAATGAACTAAATAATCACCTTGCCTAAATCTTCTAAGGTTACTTAGTTTATCAACAATAGAATGATTAGACAAATGCTTATGAAATGAGCCTGAAAAATAGAACTAGGCATTAGGACGAAGAATGATTTAGAAGAGATGCTTCATACTCATTTCTCGGCTACTCATTAAAGCAGCAACATCTTTTTTTTTACACTACTGAGGCCTGAAAGAAAAGTTGCCGCTGTTTTCATGAATGGCTTTAAAGAGCTGACTTTCTAAAGGAGTTCTTTTAAGCTGTGATAAAATAGCTGGTTGCTTTAAGAAGCTGCCTGGTTAAAGCAATTGTTAAGATATATACATATAAGGTATAACCGAATGGTGACCTAGAAGGTAATTAGGGGCTAATTGGGACGAGTACAGGAGATAGTAGCGTTTAGGTGGGTGTGTTTATACCTTTAAATAGCATTGGAAAGCAGAAGCTTCCAGTGCTAATCTAGACCGGATTGTATGCTGGATGGGAAGTTTGTTGTTTGACATTAAACACCTTGAAACCTGCTTTCTGCTGTTGTATGGTGGTTTGTGTGCAAATCTGTGAGCTTTCAGAAGACCGGCTAAGAGTTACTAACTTAACAACTGTGGCAAGAAAGATTGTAAAATGGGTCAAAATTCACTAAGCAACAGAAATATTCGGCTAAATAGTGGCTGTAAGTGGAGGAATACCTATACAGCCAAATTTGAGAGCCTAACATACAAGCATTTTTACCAGAATATCTTTATGTGTGTGTGTTTGTGTGTGTGTGTGTAAAGCCAGCATTTCAAAATTACTAAACCTTTCTAGCACAAGGTTATATAGTAATAAATCTATAGATAGTATAGTAATAGTATCGTATTGATATATAGTAATAGATCTCCATAAAAACAAGTGATTGTCATTATATAAAATGTATTTACTTATCTATTTAAGTTTGTATGCTGCTCATCTTGCTATGGAGAGTGAACATTACATTATAAATTGCCCAAAGTCACAGGTAAGATGGGTGATATAAAAATTTGATAAACATATAAAACAATCAGAACAGTTAACCAGAAACATGTGTTTTGTAATATTTTTGGAAACCACTAGAAGGAAATAAAGCACAAGTTAAAAAGAGGTTACAATATCTGAAATTCCTAAATGTTAAGTTTTAAGTTCTAATTTTCACTATAAGGCAGCAGTCTTTAAATTTGACAGCTTTAAGACTTGTGGACTTCAACTCCCAGAATTCCTCCTCCAGTCATGTTAGCTCAGAAATTCTGGGAGTTGAAGTCCTTACAAGTCTTAAATTTGCCAAGTTTGAAGACCCTTGCTATATGATGGCGAACCTATGGTCGCCCAAAAGAGCCCGACTGCACCAGCCAGCTGATTGTTGGGTATCTGCTGTGCATTCGCGGGGGAGAAGCGCATGCACGTGCAGAGGCATGCTGGAAGCCATGACACCCAGATTTTATGCAAGATTCCCTGTATTTTTTTTTTCTCATTCTATCTTAATTATAATTACTGCTTTGTTGGATTGTTTGAAGAGGAATGGAAGATTTGAAAAAGTAATCCTCCTAAATTTGTTTTTAAAAAGTGAAACAATCTTACCAAAAGACCAAACGTCAGACTTGCTGCTGAATCGGCTGTAATTGAAAACTTCAGGCGGACACCACTTCACAGGAAATTTAGCGCCTGAGGAGCTGGTGTACTGATCATCAAGAACATATCTAAAAGGAGAAGAAAAAAAAATCCTTCCTCTGAAATGAATTACAAGGGAACCTCGGTACTTGACGGCTTCAAAACTCGTCAAATTTGATATTCGACGCATTTTGATGTGAAAATGTTGTCCCAATACTCAGCGTTTGTTTAGTGCTCAATGCGCTGCAATAGGAAAAGAGGGACAGATGCAGAGAATGGACAGGAAGTTGGCCATGCTGGGAAGGTCACTGCAAAAGGAGGGGGATGGCCACAGAAGGCGGACAGGACATCGGCCATGCCGGGAAGATCACGGAGATAGAAAAAGGGACAAGAGGAAGTTCTTCCCAGCACAAACAAAGGGTCACGTGATAAGTCACATGGTCTGTTTGTGATACGTCCATTTTAGTACTCATTGCATTTCCTGGAACAAATTAATGCCAAGTACTGAGGTACCTCTGTACACAAAAAACTGACACAGATAGTCCTTGAATAAGGACCACTTGTTTAACAACGGTTCAAAATTATGATGCCACTGAAAAAAAGTGACTTTAACCCGTCCTTGGTGTTATGACTGTTGCACAATCCTCCTTGCAGTTGCATGATTGTGATTTGCAAAACCTTCCCAGATGCCTTCTGGTGAGTAAAGCCGATGAGGGAAGCCGGATTTACTTAACAACATGATTTGCTTCCATTACTGCGTGATTTGCTTAATGACCACGGGAAACAGGATTGTTAAAATTGGATCTGATCATAGGCTTAATGGCTGCGTTGCTTATCAACTGAAATTTCAGTCCCAATTGTGGTGATAAGTTGAGGACTACCTGTATTCAATATTCATGTCACTGCCTAACAGTAATGGATACATTTGACAAATGGAATTTAAAAGGACAGGCTATCACATAGACCCGTAAGGGCGAACCTGTGGTCGCCCAAAAGAGCCCCACTGCACCAGCCAGCTGATTGTTGGGTATCTGCTGCGCATTCGCGGGGGAGAAGGCATGCGGTGTGGGGGGGTCACGCATGCACAGGGGCGGGTCACGTGCATGCTGAGGGGCGGGGGGGGTCACGGGGGGGTGTGTGCGGTGTGGGGGGGTCACGGGGGGGGGTCACGTGCATGCACAGGGGCGGGGGGAGTCACGCATGTATTGCATCATGGGTGAAGGATGCATGCAAGCGCTATTTTGGCATGCAACGTGGAAAAGGTTAGTCATCACTGACATAGACTGACTCTGGATAACTGTTGGCAGCTAGAATATTTTTCAGTCCTCTGCATCTGAGGTAGGTGAGTTAAATTTGGTTATGTAAGCAACACATGATTGGGGTCTGTTTTAAGTTAAAAACATGGCCACCACCCTGCCACTTTGGAAAGTGCAAATGTAACTTTAAAATATTCCCGTTAAACGTATACAGATGACTAATACCTTGTCATTCCAAAATCAGATACTTTCACCACTCCTGACTCATTCACTAAGCAGTTTCTAGCAGCCTAGAGAAAGAAAGAAAGAAAAAAGTAAAACAGTAGTTGGATTGCATGTCATGGATGTGGTCTGATTTCTGCTTAATGTCTAAGAGTTACACAAGTGTAGAGATATCAGGCACCAAAAACTAAGAAAGCATGCTACCACCCTCAGAAAGCATGGCTGGCTAGGGAGTTCTGGGAGTTGAAGTCCACACGTCTTTCAACTGCCAAGGTTGAGAAATACGAATTGAGTGTAATGCAAATCAAGGGTCTCCAGCTATGAGTAGGCTACTTCTGCCTACAATTTGGCAATTCGAATCTCACCAGTCTCAAGCTTGACTCAGCCTTCTATCTTTCCGAGGTAGGTAAAATGAGGACCCAAATTGTTAGGGGCAAGAGGCTGACTCTGTAAACTGCTTAGAGAGGGGCAATAAAGCGCCGTAAAGCAGTATATAAGTCTAAGTACAATTGCTATTTGAATTATGGATTTTTTTTCAGGCAAGCCCAGAATTATGGGGGTTTTTTCCCCCAAGAGAAAAGTAAAAGCAATAACTAGGTTTACTGGAAAGCATCCTGAAGATCATTTTAGATATGCTTTAATCTGATTAGTGTTCCCCTTTCCAGAATGGGTCAAATGTAGCATAAAATCTATGATGGAAATCCTCTCTGCTCTTCCCCAAATGCTCAAAGCCAAGATTGATTTGATGTTTTTCTGCCCCACTGTCACTTTCCAGCTATAGCTTCCAGATAACTATCAAGAGCAGCCTGATGTGGAACATGTTATAGTAATCCACTTGTAAGAAGAATAAGGATGAGAGGCTGTTAACATGTGTGTTACCGTAATGCACCCATTGAAAGCAAAACTCCGAGGCAGGTAGATTCCTCGAAAAACATGTTTATTGGATACATCATATCTGCACAGCTGGTGAAAACCAACTCTAAAAGTTCCCATTGTTTTCACCTAATTAAAAGAGTAAAACTTCCCCCTCCCAGGTGTAACCAGTCACATTGTCCAATGAATATAGCTGGCAGGCTCCTCTCCTCCTTCATCAGCCATCTGTTATGATGACCTTGGTTCCCACAAGATAACTTTTTGTTTTGACTGTTAGCTGGGCTATTTACTTCCCCTCTCCCTTCCCTCTCTCAGGCTTCGTGGCAACTACGAAGCAGCACAAGGTGGCTTCAGCCAGGTTCACTTCAGAGTTGACAATGTGTGTAAAAGTGACCTTTTTGAAAAGCACCCATTGCCATTCATGGTGGAGAAAAACACCAGCTTTAATTTCTCCTTTGCAAGTCTTAAAAGGGACATGACTCCTACTTTGCATAGCTTTTGGTCAAAACATTTCATAAACATAAAAATTCAGACCCTTTAGATCCTGTGTGTCAGGATTCCGGCAGTTACCCCCATTTAAATCATGAGTCTCGAGCCAAACTTCCCAAACTTAAAAAGGATTTATTGGGAGTTAAAACTGTCTGGCACTGCCTGGGTGTAGCCGACTCTGAGACACATCATTCATTGTCACCCTTGACCCTGGTTTCCCCCCACCCCCTGGGTGTATCATAATTCATATGGGACACATCCATAGCCAAGAATCATCAATCATGCTCTCTAGTTAGAATTATGCCTGGCAGAAACTTCAATCACCTAGTTACTATCTCTGAAAACATTTATGGAACGCACTTTCGGTTTGCAAGCTGCTACACTGCTCCCCCCTCCCTTTCTGCTGGCAACTCTAAAAAGGCCATAGGAATATTTTTTGAGTTGACCCTGGGCTTCATGAATGCAACAAATGTACACATGTTCATCCCCAGACTTACCAAATCTCTGTGTATGAAGCTATTTCTCTCCAGGTATTCCATTCCTTCAGAGACATCCTGACACATAGTCAGCAGATTGTCTTTAGTAAAGTGTCCACGTCTTTGGCGAAGATAATTTAGAAGGCAGCCATGCTCCATAAACTCCGTCACTATGTAGATAGGCCTCTGCTGAGTACAAACGCCATATAGCTGGACTAATTTCGGATGCGTCAACTTCCTGAAAGTAGTTTTAAAAAAGAAACAGTTAAACATGGGTTTTATATGGGAAATACATGGGAAATGGAAATGGAAATATAGACCTAGTTTTCTTCATGAATATTTATGGAGATTCTCAGTCATCCAGGTCAGGATTGTCCCAAAGGTGCTTTCTTTCAAGAGGCAACTGGACTTTCTGGTTTTTTTTCTTTGAAGACGTTTCACTTCTCATCCAAGAATCTTCTTCAGCTCTAACTGGATGGTGGGGAACGGAAGGATTTATGCTCCTTGCAGACAGCTGGTCATTTGCATTCTTTTAGTGGGTAGATAAAACTCCAAGTGGCCTCAACAACCCTCTAAAAGGATGCAAATGGCCAGCTGTCTGCAAGGAGCATAAATCCTTCCATTCCCCACCATCCAGTCAGAGCTGAAGGAGATTCTTGGATGAGAAGCAAAATGTCTTCGAAGAACAAACAAGTTGCCTCTTGAAAAAGCCACCTTTTCGTCATGAAGTTAACCTTAGTTAGAAAACATACATGTCTGGAAAGAAGTCAACGCGAAATAGCTTATGCAGTCTTTATGCTAAAAATAACAAATAACAAATTCAGAAGTGATAAAGTTGCAGAAGCAGAGTAAAATAGCAAATCCTAGTAATGCCTTATAACTGCAGGCAATAGCATTTAATATTATGGCAGATGGAGTTAAGCAATCAAGATTTAGGAGTTGAAACAAATTCAAAATGCAGGCTCAGACTTCAGCATACAGAAATGTGGCTGTAACACTCCACCACTGATATATCCCCAAAATGTAATGTTTTTGCAAGATTACATGTCTAAAATAAATACAATAGACAGTTGGGGTTATATTGATCTAACCTAGTAAGAACAGATTTTTCTTTTTTCCGTACAATAGAATTGTTTACAGTAGAGAGTCCTACTGAATCTTTAATGTTAAAGGTGAAAACCACAAATCCTATTACAATTTCAAACCTGCTCCCGTGAAACATCATTTTATATGTTAAGCATTTAAATATGTCAATGAAGTGGTTCATGAATGTATCTATGCTGGAAGATATTAAGCAGGTGGAACAAAAAATGGCAAATGTTTTTTTTTGTATTAGTAGGGATTTGATTATATCACTGCCTTTAGTATGGGATACTATATGTATTTCACTAGCAATATATTGCTAATAATAATAGTATCATTAATTGTTTAAACAGCCCATTCTTCTTCTGATCAAAATACAGATTTGTTTCCTCCTAATTTTGAGCTTAGAAAGTTTGATACTTCCAAAATAAATTCATAGTGCATCAAGCAACAAAATAAGGAGAGAACTAGTATCGGCTTTTGATGTTCTGACTCAGACAATTGATGTAATTCTTTGAAGTGCAAGGAAACAGAGCAGAACATCTGACGATGTTCAGAAGACATTTCTTAAGATGTTTTGCAGCCTTATTCTTTAATGATTATCCAGCCCCTTTGCCTGTTACTTACATCATCACTTTAGCTTCTTCTATAAAGTCCTCTTCATACATGGCACCTTCTCGGATGGCCTTGATGGCTACTTTGTACTGGGCTCTCCATTTGCCCAGCCGCACTACGCCAAAGAGGCCACTGCCCAGTTCTCGCATAAAGGTGAGTTCTGCAGGATTGATTTCCCATTTCTCTATTAAAAAAAACAAAAAAAAACAAGAAGAACAGAATCACTTGAGGATAAACCCCCAAGACAAATTGGAAGAATTTTAATTGTCAGTATTCTTTGCACCAATTCTGGTGGACTGGTAGTTAAGATTAGGCACAGTTCAACGAACCAACAAATCCCATCACTGGCTGGCCCAGCCCCCGTCCATTTTTTGGCCTGGTTTTGGGGCCATTTTCAGTCTGTTTTACAGGCGCATGGAACGCTGTTACCTTCCCACCAAAGTGGTCCCTATTTTTATTACTTGTATTTTTTTAACCTGCTTTCAAACTGCTAGGTTGGCAGAAGATGGGACCAGTAACAGGAGCTCACTGTGTTAGGCTAGGGATTCAAACCGCCGAACTGCTGACCTTTCTGATCGACAAGCTCAGAATCTTAGCCATTGAGCCACCACGTCATTTATTTGTTTGTTTGTTTATTTATTGTATAAACATGATTTGTACTGTTAGGCAAAGGTACAAACGACTGATAGGTACAAAGTACTGAAAAAAGTGACTTACGACCATTTTTCACACTTAAGACCGTTGCAGCATCCACATAGTCATATGTTTTACATACGGATGCTGGACAACTGGTTCATATTTATGATGGCTGCAGGGTCCCAGGGTCATGTGATTCCCCTTTCACAAACTTCTGACGAACAAAGTCAATTATTCAATTATCAGTTGTGTTACCAACGTAACAACCGCAATGGTTCACTTAACAAATGTGGCAAGAAAAATCGTAAAATGGGGCAAAACTCACTTAACAAATGTTTCACTAAGCAACATAAATGTTGGGCTCAATTTTAGTTGTAAATTGAGGACTTCCTGTATAGGCTTTATAGAACTGAGATTTTCTGCATAATAATGGGAAAATATAATTAAAAAGATAAATACATCATGCGACATATTTTAACTGCTGCTAGGATTTCCTAGGCACAATTCTGGAAGCAAGAAATTGTACCACCAGAGGGTGTTATAAAAAAAAATTTAGACTGTGCAGAGATGGACAGACTAACAATGAAATTAAAAGACAAAGAAGAGTTGATATATTATAATGTCTGGGATGCCTGGTATGAATGGTTTAAGAATAAAAAGAAATCAAAATGGCAATTAGGTATAAAATAACAAACTATGTAAATACATATCTGTATTCATATCTATCTATATTTATTTATATATTAAGTTGAAATTGTATAATGAAAGAAATATGTATATAGAAAGATAAGGAAATGTAAAAGATGTCTTGACATTGATATAATGATGTATAAAGTTTTATTTTATGTTTTTAATTTTTGAAAACTAAATAAAATTTACTAAATTTAAAAAAAAATGAAAAAAAAATGGAGAGGAAATAAATACATTTCAGTTCTTTGTTCATGTACAAAATCAGTAATATTTTCATACAGAAACATAAATGTACCATAGCTGAATCCAGCAGTAGTTGGTGAAGGTTTCACTTTTGGAGTCACTGGGTATCGTAGCCTCGTCACAAGCCCTAAGATTCACAGAAAATTCAAACAGTGAGTAAGTTACTTTGAAAATTAAGCAAGACGAACAATACTTTCTGGTGTTTTAATGTTAACTATGTCATTTTCCTATAGCATCATTCGTATATATTTTGAATATATACGATTTAAGCACATTAAGCCTTTTCCTGCTAGTTTTCACAAACATTTCAGTACAAGAAAGGAATTATTGAGTCTGTCATCTGAACTTCTGTAACTTCTGGTTTGGTTCTGCAACCCAACAAGACAGACACAGACTTCAGAGGATAGTTAGAACTGCAGAAAAAACAATTGCTACCAACCTGCCTTCCATCAAGGACCTGCACGAGTCAAAAAGAGGGCTGTGAAAATATTTACAGACCCCTCACATCCCAGACATAAACTGTTTCAACTCCTTCCCTCAAAATGACACTATAGAGCCCTGTACGCCAGAACAACTAGACACAAGGAGTTTTTCCCCAAACTCCATCACTCTGTTAAACAAATAATTCCCTCAACACTGTCCAACTACAGTATTTACAAAGTCTGCACTATTATTACTATTCATCTTCTCATCACTCCTTATCACCCAACCCCTCCCACTTGAGACTGTATGACTGTAACTTTGTCGCTTGTATCCTTACGATTTATATTGACTGTTTCCTGGTATGATTTGACTGCTTATTGTACCCTTTGACTATTAAGTGTTGTACTTTATGATTCTTGACTCTTGACAAATGTATCTTTTCTTTTATGTACACTGAGAGCATTTGTACCAAGACAAATTCCTTATGTGTCCAATCACAATTGACCAATAAAAAATTCTATCTATCTATCTATCTATCTATCTATCTATCTATCTATCTACCTACTTACCTACCTACGAATTTATAGCTATCAGCAGCATGGAAAATTAGAATTATTCTATTGCTTGAAACCTGCAAAATATAGGACGAATTAAATCATTTTCAATAAAAATTTGGAACTTCTAAGCATCCTATATGACCAAAGAAGAGGTGGGTTAGAATCTTATTTGAATAATTTATTTTCTTGAATCATATTAAAACCATTCAGCATCTTCAAAAGACCTGAAATTTAATAGTTTGGGGTTACAAAGTACAAATTAAAGGGTAAAAAACTCAGCATCATTTACCTGCAGCGTTGTGTTTATGATAGTCAATTAACTCTGGAATGGAGTCAAAAAGATGCTTTTCCGCCAAATAATATTGCTTTTGTGATGTCATTGTTTCTTTTATATGGTAGTGTCTTATGCCAGATAGCCCTTCTCTAAAAAAAACACAACAAATCATGTAGAAATTAAAACAGATTTTTTTTTTGCTGAATAACCTCATGCTCTTATCTAGCTAACAAAATATTTCATTTCATTTTGGAGGCCTGTAAGTACTCAATGTGGGTCTATTTTAGGAACATACTTTTCTCCATCAGTGGTCTTAACTACATGAAAATGCGGACAAACTCAGTTGCTCCTTAGCACCTTTAGCAGCTTTCAAGGGAAATAAAATGAATTTGATTTTTCAGAAACAGCATAGTTTTGGAAATATGCATGTCCCTCGTTACATTCAAATCAACTCAGAAACGTCTTCCATTAATTCACTGGGGCATAGTCAAGACTCCAGTTTTGAACGCTAACGAGATTTCTGAAGCCAGCAAAGAAGATCAAAGCAAGATTTAATATTTTGTTACATTAAGTAGCAGGTATGTATCACTTTAAGATCTCTGAGAACTAGGTCCATCATTCGATTTGACTCTTCTCTTACATATACCTTTTAAAGGACAAAATAAGAACAGTAAGGAATGGAGGTAGTCCTTGACTTACAACAGCTCTTTTAGTGACCATTTCAAGTTAAAACAGCACTGCAAAAAGTGACATGACCAGTGGCGTGTTTCAAAAACTTTTTACCACTGGTTCGGTGGGCATGGCTTGGTGGGCGTGCTTTGCGCACGCGCACAAACTTTGTACACACGTGCGCACCAAATGCACAGTTTGTGCAGGCGCAGAGGCATTTTGACTCGCCTCCTGCAATCCTGCGCTCTCCCTGTCGCTTCAGCAGCTGCCTCGCAACACTCTGCTGTGCCGCGCAAAACAGCTGCACTTCAAAAGCAGGACATAAAGGTTAGTATGAGAGCCCAGGCGGGCGGGCGGGCCCAACAGCAGAGCAGCGGAGAGAACCAGTTTGGTCTCTTCTGCTCATTGGCGCTACCAGCTCGGCCGAACCAGGCCGAACCGGTAGAATACCACCACTGCTTATGACTGTATTTCACACCTAAGACCATTGCAGCATTCCTAAGGTCATGTGATCAAAATTCAGACACTTGGCAACTGGGTCATACTTATGATGGTTGCCGTGTCCTGGGGTCAAGTGATCCCCTTTTGCAACCAGCAAAGTCAATGGGAAACCAGATTCATTTTACAACCATGTTACTAACTTATCAACCGCAGTAGTTCACTTAACAATTGTGGCATTGGCGGGATGCTGCTGGATTAACAAGCAGTTCGCTGAGTGTGTGCACACACAGCGCTGAAAATGGAGCATTTAGAATAGGGGTGGTCAACCTTTTTATACCTACCGTCCACTTTTGTATCTCTGTTAGTAGTAAAATTTTCTCTAACCGCCCACCGGTTCCACAGTAATGATGATTTATAAAGTACAAAACCCCTACCGCCCACCATGAAAGCTGGAACGCCCACTAGTGGGCGGTAGGGACCAGGTTGACTACTACTGATTTAGAAGCTCAGTTGCTTACCTTCCAAATCAGCAACAGTAAGTAGAACAGCAGGAAGGGGGGGGGATCAGTTGTGCCACGCGAATGAGATGAACTGCAAAGCAGGAAATAAAGGACAGGATAGGGGGCGCAGGGAAGGTGATCATCGGAACTACCGGTTCGCTCGAACCAGTCTGAGTCGGCAGCATCTCACCACTGAACTGTGGCAAGAAAGGCTGTAAAATGGGGTAAAACTCACTTAACAAATGTTTCGCTTAGCAACAGAAATTTTGGGCTCCATTGTGGTCTTAAGTTGAGAACAACCTGTATATATAAATTATTTCCAGATAAGAAGTTCTACCAGAAAAATCTACTAGTTATAGGTTGGAAAAACCAATGCCATAACTTGAATACCTATATCAGCGGTGGCTAACCTTTTTGGGCTCCTGTGCCAAAAATTGCGTGCGCGCCAGCACGTACACACTCGCATGCCAGCACCCAGAATGCAATGCGTGCGCCCCCTTCCCACTCCCCTGTGCACACAATCCCCCCACCCTACCCCCCTTACCTGCACTGCACCTCACAGCTGATTTTTCGGCTACTTTGAGGCCTCCCAGAGGCTTGGGGAAAAACTCTGCAAGGCTTTTCAGGACAAATTATAGGCCCGTTTCGTCACTTCTGGTATTACAGGAAGTGACGAAACGGGCCTATAATTCGGCCTGAAAAGCCTTCCAGAGGCTTTTTCCAAGCTTCTGGGAGGCTGAAAAAGGCCTCAAACCAAATGAAAATAAATCAGCTGTGAGGCACAGGCATGCACAGTGAGGCAAGTTTGCCTGTGGCTCTGCATGCCACTTGTGGTATGCATGCCATAGGTTCACCATCATGGATCTAGATTCTAATATATTAACCACTTGGTTGACTTAGCATTTGCAGAATGTATATTAAAAACCAGAAGGAATCTGATTAACAG